AATGTTACTTAGAATGATTACTTTGTTACTTAAGTAAATGTAAAAAGTCTTAGTAATAATATATGAGAGATGGCTATAAAAAGGCACTATTGATTATTTACAGCTAATTTATTTAATTAATGCACTATTTGCATCACATGTCAATAATTTTAAGTAAAATGATGCACTAAAATAAGTAATGCAGTAATTGTTTTAAGTTCTCTGAAAATCAGTACTATTTTATTAAGATATATTTAAAGATTCAAATGTGGAAATATTTAAATGATAATAATAACAGTTATGGAAAACATAACAAATTACACATCACTTATTTTAATTAACCATGTTACTTAGAATGATTACTTCACTACTTAAGAAAATGTAAAAAGTTCTAGTAATTTTTTAATCATTTCACCCCAAGCAAGGCAGGAATGCCACTAGTATTCAGGGGTTTACAGAGAGTGAAGGTGAGAGAAAAAACTGGGTATAGCGGGGATTGAGTAAAGGTTAAAAGATGAATGGGATTCAAGTAGCTAGAAGATGGTGATTGATGTTGCATTTAAAATCTTGAAGATTGTAGTTATCAGGGAAGCAAGTAAATGAAAGTGCATTCCACGGGTGGGAAGTGCGAGAAAAGAAACTGTTGGACTAGAAGTGGCGGTTACATTTAGCTATTTCAATAGTGAAATGGTGGGACCTAGATGCCAATCTAGTAGCATGCTTACATTCATGTAGTCGGGTAACCAGGAGAAAAAAGCTCGTCAGAGCAGTTGCCATGAAAATATTTGTAGAAAAGACTGAGGGAAGCCACATCACGTCAGTGAGTGAAGTCAAGATGACAAGTCAGGATCAATTACATTACTTTGAATTTTGTCAAGAACCTCAAGATGAATAGCAGCAGCACCAGACCAGATATGGCAGCAGTAGTCAATGCATGGATGATTGGTAGATTTGTAAATGTGCAAGATGGAATCTGATGACAAAAACTTTCTGGCATGACACAGTGACCCAACTTTCCTTGCAGTAGATGCAACTATTGATTCAATGTAGTCACTCCACTTCAAGTCAGTGGAAAATGTGAGTACAAGAAGGCACAGTATGTTGTCCTCCAGGAGTCTAGCATCAGCCATACTCATAGAAGGCAGGAAAATTTCTCTATGGTGGTTAAATGAGAGCAGTTTATTTTGGGAGGCGTTAAAATTTACAAACCATTTCCCCAGTTAACCACAAATTGGAGGTCCTTTTTAAGAGAAGCAGCCAGGTTAACTTTCTCAGATCTCATGGATTTACTATTAAGACAGGAGTAAATTGCAGTGTCATCTGTATAAATACCTACTTTGGGAACTGATGACATCAGGAAGATCATTGATGAAGATCAGAAACAGCATAGGACCCAGAATAGAGCCTTGGGGGACAACTGCATTCATGTGAAAGGATCTGGAAGCGAGCCCGTTCAAAACCACCTCCATTTCACAATTTGGTAGGAACTATTGGATTAGCCCTGGAGCTTACGTAGAAGACCAGTGGGCCAAACCATCAAGTGTCTTCAAAATATCTAAAGCCACTGATTGAGCTTTGCTGTTATTATTAAGAGCTTCACACACACACACACACACACATATATATATATATATATATATATATATATATATATATGGAACTTTAGATGATGAAATCATGCATCAGATTAATAAGGCTACCAGTGCTTTCGGCAAACTTCGTCAAACTTTGCCACCACTTGTGGAATTCAACTGGATATGAAAATTCGGGTTTACAGAGCTGTTGTACTTGCCTTCCTTTTGTATGGCTCAGAGTCGTGGACTCCATACAGGTACCATATATGCCAGCTAGATGTTTTCCATAAAAGCTGTCTGCGTGCAATCTGTGGAGTTAAGCTTCAAGATAGGACATCTAACGTAGACCTGTTTAACAGGTGTAATATTGGAGGAATCGAAACTTTTATCATACAGTCTCAGTTACGGTAAACTGGTCATGTCTTGAGAATGTCTGATGACAGGATACCCAAGATCCTAATGTACAGCTAGTTAGATCAGGGCTACAGGAATGTAGGACGCCCATGGCTAAGATACTGTTATGTAGTGTACGAAAGGTTTTTCTTCCTCCGTATGAGTTCAAATCCCTCGTCGCCAAAGTTGTTATGTAGTGGTTTCACAGTGGAAGCTTGTATTTTGTACTAAGTCGGTCCTAAATAGGTTCAACGTACAAAACATTAGGGACTTGATATAATAGGTAATGACACAGTAATCTAGTTGGGGTGGCTGATACTTTAATATCTGACTAACAGTCATCCAACATCAACTGACTAACTCACTGCCGACTCGCTACTACTACTCCTACTTATTATAGGTGGGAGAGTCTATTAACAATAGAATAGGTGTGTTTCACTATAACAGATACAAAGACAAGCGAGTGGGTAGAATGGAGATGAACATGTTTTAGTGGACCCAGCAATTTTCACTCTGCTTGTCTGAATCATCTTCAAGAAGCAAAAGCAAGATCTAAAAGGTCAGCCAATCTAACAGTGATCTCATCTCACAATCCTCACTCTTGCTCCATATGTGGCCTCCTTTGTAAATCACTAGCGGGTCTTAAATGCCACTTAAGATTATCGCACAAACTTTCATAACTGAATCAATTAAGCTGTCAGATCCTCATACGTCAAAACCGACGGGAGAGTCCATTATATATATATATTCAGTGATGGTTGTTAGCACATCAGCAGTAGATATGGTGAGAAATTGAAGTCATATTGTTTGTCAGAGAGTAGGTCATGAGTGGTAAGATGCTTAACCACTTTAGCATTGATTAAAGCCTCGAATACTTTACCGAAAAGTGGTAGGAATCTAATAGGACAACAGAGTGGTCAGAAGGTTCTCCAGAATTCTTAAAAACAGGAACTACATTGGAATTCCAACAAGCTGGAAAGCAGGATATAAGTGAGAGATTACTATAAAAAGGCACTCTTGATTATTTACAGCTAATTTGTTTAAATAATACACTGACTATTGTTTGTGTCACATGGCAATAATTGTAAGTAAAATGATGCATTAAAATAAGTAACGAAGTAATCGTTTTACGTTCTCTAATTATTGATGCCTTTTTAAATAGATTTAATTGTACAGTAATAAAAAAAAGAATATAATTTTAAGTCATTAGTTCAGTAAATAACTTGTAATTTTCCATCAATACTCCTTCCTTATTTTATCCTTATGTCCAGAAAGAATAACAAGAAACACTTTTACTTTGATGTTTCAAAATAAAACTCTGTTTTTTAGAACATAAATACAAGAAAGAATACTGAAGACAATGTATAACAAGAAAAATTAAAGCTAGATTATATATCTATAATATTTTAAATGGGGTGTTTGAAAACCCCACAGTACGAGTTCTAACCTTCATGACTTACTTAGAATGATTACTCAGCTACTTATATAAATGTGAAAAATCATCTAAGTCAGCATTAATATAAATGATAGATGGAGATAAAAAGGCACTATTGATTATTTATGGCTGATTTGTTTAAATAATACACTGATTATTGTTTATGTCACATGGTAATAATTGTAAGTAAAATAATGCACTAAAATAAGTAACCAAATAATCATTTTAAGTTCTCGGCCATTTTAAATGAGTTTAATTATACAATAATAAAAAAGAATATAGTTTTAAGTCATTAGTTCAGTAAATAACTTAATTTTCCATTAGTAGCTTCCTTATTTTGCCTTTATGATCAGATATTTTAACCAATGAATACATTTTTTCTAATATTAGCCTTTTAATTTTTTAAGATGTCAACAAATATCATTTCCATAATGCTCGTTATAGTAGAGACTGTGTAATCGCAGATACAACTATAGTAATGCCTTGAACAATACTGATGTCAGATGCCTTCAAATAACACTTGCACTAATAGTACTTGCTCAATAATACTCGCTTGAAAAGTAGCCACCGAATAATAATCTGTATATGAATAGTATAGAGAAGAGAATAGTGATCCATATAGCAATAGAGGATAGAGTAGAAATAGTGATCAACTAGACGTCATGCTACTTTCTATTTATTTATGCATTTTCCTCTATGATCATGTGGTCTACTTAATTCTATAATGGGATCACCTGTGTTTGCTCACTGGCGATCTATGTTCAAACAGCGACACTTTATTCCTATATAACAAATTTGTTTCTGTTCATTTTTATTTATCCTATAAAAACCAGAAAGAACGCTGAAGATGATATATAACAAGAAAATTAAGAACTAAATGATATTTTGATAATATTTTAAATGGTACACTATTTACACTATTGTCTTCATCTTTGTCACCATTGTATGCTCCGGCCTTCTTCAGGTGGTTGAAATGTCGAACTGAACCCTTTATTTCACTCACTGGGGTAGACTGTTCTAGTTCCATGTTCCATGGATGTCAGTTATCAGTTATCTCCTGTTAATTCCCATCTTCAAGTTCTCCACCACCTAAACCAGGTATTGAACTCACACTCTTTGTGTCCTGTCACTGGATCTAACTAACACCTTTATCCACTGTGCTATGTGTCCTTGAAGACATCTTCTGGTGTATTAATTTCTGGGTATTATTATATTATTATAAACCTAATGTCTTCAGCAACGATTTTTTACTAGTGTTTATATTGCAATTTTTGCTGTTATCACATCATGTTTTTACCAGGGCTCATATTGCAATTTTTGTGGTTATTGTTGCATTTCTCTGTAATAAATATGGTGACAATGATGAGGACAATAGTCTGAATAATGTAAATAGTGTACATAATACCTCATGTCAGAAATATAGACTGATTTTAAATGGTGTGTCTGAAAAAAACACAGAACTAATGCTGTGACAATACTAACGGATCGTTAATCTCAGCAAAATAGATTTATTCCTCATGTTAGAGCTTTTGAACAGTATTGTGCTAACAAACATTGTGCTATGATATATTGTTTTTGTTGACATTCAAATATACAGAAATCAGCTAATCATTATGTAAATGATTAATTGTTCTTCTTTCAACAAAAAGGTGGGTCCATGTGACAGAAGAGACACTGAAATACCTTGGAAATGACTATGAAGTAATCCCAGGAGAGGGAGGCAAGAGAAATGTTTACCTAAGGGAGAACAATATTACCACTTACTTTATTAAAGCTGACTCTTATCGAGAAAAGGTAAGTTTTTTTTTTGTTTTTATCTCTAGTAAAAAAAAATATTCAGGTTAACTCTCGGACAGTGATTTTTAAATGGACAGAGTTTCAAACCAAAAGGGAGGAATTTTAGCCAGGGTAAGAATTTGGAGAGATGACGATTCAAAATTGGGGAGGAACTGAGGAAATCTGTAATCACAAGGGGAGATATGTTGAATAGGAGAGAAAATTATTATATGTATGTCATGAATTTAATGGTGACAATATCATCAAATGATAATTTGAAATAAATAGGGGAGGGCTGAATTAATAAAAGCTGAAATAATTATGGGGAGGAATTTTAACTGGGGAAGAAGATTATTAGATATTTAAGTCATTAAAACATATTGATGAAATAATTATGAGATGACAATACAAAATGGAGGAATTAAGGAAATCTAGGATCATCAGGAGAGGAATTTTATCCAGATGAAAAAATTTGGTGAGAATTTCAATCATATGTATAAGTCATATAAATAATGGTAAAAAAAAAAAAATATTACCATATGACAATTCAAAATGGCGGAGGAATTGATGAAAACATGGATAACAAGTGGGTGTAAGTTTAGATAGCAGAGGAGGAAGAAATTTCACTTGAATGTATATTTTTCTTAAATAGTACCATTTTGTAGAACAGATTACTGCATGGATGCTTCCCTAAATGCTACAATCTTAATCTCTTCAAGTCAATGGTCAGTCTTTCTTTATTCTCCTTATCCTCATTATCTACCCCCTCCTCTTTTGTTTGTATCATGCACTTCATTCATCATAACTATTTTGATAGTAACCCTCTACCTTGAGTGGCTCTCAAGTCACATATCTGTGAATATTAATATTAAATATAAAAAGTTTTCTGGTAAATTTGCTTTTTAAGCCCTGTGCTAAATATCAATTAAAATTTTCCCAAATTGTCATATTTCCGTGTAAATGTACATGCTGAACTAGAAATAACAATTAAATTTTGATAAAACCGATTAAATCCGATTTTTTCTGGTTGATAACTCCAAAATGGTAGTTTTTATCATAACTAATTGTTAATTCGTGTTCAGCAAATACATTTATACAGAAATATGATAATTTCAAAAATTTTTAACAGATATTTAGCTTAGGGATTGAAAAGCAAATTTACCGTTTTTTTAAAGTAAATCTTTCTTTTTAAATTAAAAAAAACAAATAATAAACTAAAGCTTTTCTTTTAAATTAAAAATAAAAAATAATAATTAATGCACAAAGTTTGCGCATTAATTATTATTTCGTTTCTAGCACTTTTTTGTAATTTTATTTTGTAAATATTCATGCTCTTTACAAAGTTTGCTCATTAATTATTATTTGTTTTATTTTAATTTAAAATAAAAGCTTTACAACAGTTGTCATTGCTTTTCTAAACAGAAAAATGGATATACTAAAAAAAAAACCACTTGTCATCGCTTTCCGACACAGCTTAAGTGCACAGTAATTTAGATGAGTAAGATCAGTTAAGAGCAATAAAAAGGCAATTAAGATTCTACACACAAAATGTTCTGCAGTGAATGTAGAAAAACAAGGCCACTAATGGCTGACGACTGAACGCAGCTGAGTCCAAACTTTTTATTGTCGATAGGTTTTATCAAAATTTAATTGTTATTTTGAGTTCAGCGGGTACATTTACATGGAAATATGATAATTTGGGAAAATTTTGATAGATATTTAGTTCAGCATGTACATTTACATGGAAATATGACAATTTGGGAAAATTTTAATAGATATTTAGCGCAGGGCTTAAAAAGCAAATTTACCAGATTTCCTTTAAACATTTCTAGTTTCATGCCTTCTGATTTCACTTCGATTGGGCCATTTCGTGATGATGATGATTTTTTTTTTCTTCTTTTAGACACACAGGAAGAATAACAGTCCTGGAAATTCAGTGCAATCAACCAAAGAATCAAAGCGTTTGGGTTTTAAGGACATGAACAACATCCACCAGAAGTGAGTATTTTTTCTTTCATAAAAAATAATCATTTATTAGTCAGTAGAATTTATTTAATGCCTTAACAAGGATGTATCTTCTCACCAGACATATCCAGCCTATACAGGGAAGCAATTCTGAGAGAATTAGAAGTCAGGCCAAGATTCATTATTGGCAACCAGATGATACGGTGCTGGTAACAGACACAGAAAAGAAGCAACAAGAACTGCTACAGAAGGTAATGAAAGAAAGGACTAAACATCAATTGCAAGATAGACAGAATCCATGGCTGTTAGCAAAAAGGATAACCTAAAATGGAAATTACAAAGTAGAGATACTAAAATCAAGCAAGTACAACAATTTAAATATCTGGGAAGTGTAATATGGAAATGCAAAAGTGCATTGGGATAGCAAAAGATTCCTTACAGAAGCTAAGCAAAGTATTAAGAAACAGGAAAATTTCATTAGAAACAAAGAAAAGAGTACTGAACTGTTATGCAATAGCAGACCTCCTATATGGCAGTGAATACTGGACAAATTCCTCGCAGATGAAGAAGAGACTTGAAGCAACAGAAATGTGGTTCTACAGAAGGATGCTGAGAATACTATAGACTGAACATGTAAGCAATAGCAAAGTTTTATAGAAAATGGAAACAAAAAGGACACATATACTTAACAGCAGAAAGAGTTAAAATTTCTAGCACACATAATGAGGAAAGAATGCTTGGGAAATTTGACACTCACAGGACATAGTGAAATCAAGAGGGAAAGAGGAAAACAGTACATAATCTAGAATGAAAGCTTGTGTAAATGGTTGGCAAAACAGGGATTGGGAGAGATAACAAAAAGACAAACTTTATTAAGAGCTGCAAGGAACGGGAAATTGTGGAGAGCCATGATTGCCGACATGTTTATGGGACACAGCACATAGAAGAAGAAAAAGAAGTAACATCCTGTTTTAGGTTGCATTCAAGGGTTCAGAAAATGTCTGATTTTAGAATAAAGCTTTTGTGTTTTAATATAAAGGGTGTTCCCATAATTTGAACTGATTTTAAATATGAATTAAGTTTAAGCGTCTAATGATTTTTTAATTTTTTTTTTCACATTTAACAACTTAAGTCTTTAGCAATTAGCAATTTCAACCATGGAAAGAATAACAATCAATGTGTTAAAGTTATCAAAGCCGATTACGAAAATGGACGTTTAAACAGAAATGCATTGAGAAGTTCTCAGGTTGCATCATCTCTCAAAACAGTGAAGTCAATTGGCCACCACGATCATGTGACTTAACATCTTCAGATTTCTTTCTTTGGAGTCATCTCAAAAGTAAGTTCCATGCTAACAGCCCAACAACAACAGCTGAAGGATGAGATAATAAGGCATATTGGTGAGATTGAGGAGTAACTATGCAGAGATGTCATCAAAAATTTTCACCATCAAGTGTAGGTGTGCCGCTAAAGCCTTGGCAGACATTTGGGTGATATTTTTCACACATAATTTCCATGACTTAAATAACATGATCCAATAGAGAAATATATAAAGATTCACCAATAACACTGATTTATTTACTGCTGACTTTGATCCATCTTAATGAAACACCCTATATTATTATAAGAGTTTCACAAAAATATATTACTCATTCATCAAGATTGAAGTGTCCTCTTTATTAATCTTAAATCAGTCGCTTTCAGAATTTAACTTAAAACATCATGTAACACTCAACTTGAAAATGAAATAAAGTACCGGTGCATTTTCTTTGCTTGCATGAGTTTAACCTCAGTCACAGAGCTTCTCAAAATGCCATCAACATTAACAGAGCATAGGGTGAAGGATCAACTTATGATTAGAGAGTATGGCACTGGTTTTTGAGGTTCCACAATTGGGATACGAATCTTGAAGATCAAGTTGGTAGAGGATGTCAATCTTTAATTGACAACCTCTTAAAACACTAGTCAAGCAAAACCCATGTCAAAGGGTAAGAGAAATGCCGTAGATAATTTCAGTAGTATCAGACCATCTGAAGAAAAATAGCAAGCTGAAGAAGATCTATAAAAGGCTTCCATATAAACTGAATGAGAGAGTTTGACATTTTGAAGTGTGTTTGATGTTGCATCTGCAAAATTTGAATGATCTATTTCTTGATTGAATCGTGACTTGTGATGAGAAATGGATCCTTTATGACAATCATAAACGATGAGCTCAATGACCACACCGCCCAAATACTTTCAAAAATTGTAATTACACCAACAGAGGATTATGGTAACTGTCTGGTGGTCCACCATTTTCTCATTACAGTTTTATGGAATCTAACCAGAGAATTACTGCTGACATTTACTACCAGCAACTAGATGAAATGCGCATTTAGTTAAACAAACTTTGACTGGCACTGGTTAATCAAAGAGGTTCAATTCATCTTCATGACCATATTAGGGTATATGTTGCCAGGGCAACAACATGTTTATTATTCCTATATACCTTTGAATTTGTGTCCAAGTTTTATTTACAAATTCCCCAATATTTAAAATGGACTACCCTGCTTATATTATTTTCAATTGAAAATTTCTAATCATTAAAATGGTCCCTGTTTTATTTTTTCCCAATATTTAAAATTACCCTGCTTATATTATTTTCAATTTAAATTTCAAATCATTAAATGGTCCCTGTTTTATTTGCAAATTTCCCAATATTTCAATTGAAAAATTAAAATGGTCCCTGTTTTATTTGCAAATTTCCCAATATTTAAAATGGACTACCCTGCTTATATTATTTTCAATTTAAATTTCAAATCATTAAATGGTCCCTGTTTTATTTGCAAATTTCCCAATATTTTGGAAATATTATTTTCAATTGAAAATTTCTAATCATTAAAATGGTCCCTGTTTTATTTGCAAATTTCCCAATATTTAAAATGGACTACCCTGCTTATATTATTTTCAATTTAAATTTCAAATCATTAAAATGGTCCCTGTTTTATTTGCAAATTTCCCAATATTTAAAATGGACTACCCTGCTTATATTATTTTCAATTTAAATTTCAAATTTAAAATGGTCCCTGTTTTATTTCAAATCATTTAAAATGGTCCCAATTTTTTCAAATCATTAAAATGGTCCCTGTTTTATTTGCAAATTTCCCAATATTTAAAATGGACAAATTTCCCAACCCTGCTTATATTATTTTCAATTTAAATTTCAAATCATTAAAATGGTCCCTGTTTTATTTGCAAATTTCCCAATATTTAAAATGGACTACCCTGCTTATATTATTTTCAATTGAAAATTTCAAATCATTAAAATGGTCCCTGTTTTATTTGCAAATTTCCCAATATTTAACATGTACTACCCTGCTTATATTATTTTCAATTGGAATTTTTAATCATTAAAATGGTCCTTGTTTTATTTGCAAATTTCCCAATATTTAAAATGGATAACTCTTTATTTTCAGCTTAAAACAGTCCACCATTTTAATCAAAATTTCCTTAAAACTTAAAATGATTTCTGCTTCTTTTTATTTTCAGGCTTGGCTATGGTGACCAGATTTTGGTGAAAGATCCAGAAAATGAAGTAAATGAATACTTGAGTCGGGCTATTGATGCTCGCAGTGTGGATCAGCTTCGTGCGGAACATGTGAAGCCGATCTCTCTCAAGTTTCTAAAGAAAGAATATGAGGAAAAGGTCAGCAAGCCAAAGTGTATATTGAAGTTTTTGTCTCTGCAACAACCTCACTTCTATACACAGAACCCAAAACTGAAATTGTTTCTTACATGAAATGCCAACATGACTTGATGTTTAAACTTTATTATCCAAGCCTCAAATCAACCAAAATACATCCTCATCAAGGATAAAGATATCTCTAAGTCTTTGAGAAATATATATATATCTCCAAAAAGCTTAATACTACACATATTTTTAAAAACTGCAATTCAAAGAATTCCTGACCAGAAATGCTTATATTTCTTTTTGGCTAAATCCAAGCTCCAACTCAGCCAAATCACATATTGAGCAACATATCAATATATAATCATTTATGTCTTGTACAGGAAGACATTCTCTCTGCAGCCTTTTTCCAACAGATGCAACACTGCAAGTCTGTCACCACTCTCATGGGAAATGTCCAGATGAGCACTCCATTCCATTCATTCCACCAGTTCAGACCTTTACTGCTAGGGCACGTCATGCTACTTCCACAGAGTTGTATCATCATCATTTCCTCTGCATTCCAAATGCAAGGCCTTTTTTTCTTAATGGAATAGATTCTCACATTGATGCTTCCCTGAACAGTACAATCTTAACCCTGTTGCATGGGCTACTGCTGATTGTTGCTGGCTTTGTTGTAACAGTCGAATGAAGGCATTTACTGCTGATCCCCTTTAGAGGAAAGAGAAGGTGATGTTTTGGCCAACAGAAAACAATCCTTCCATGCTTCAAATGAAAAATAAAACAACATTGTCGAGTTTAAATACAATTTAATAACAATAATGGTGAAAGTGAAAGAGAAAATGTTTTCTTAGAATGGTTAAAGATAGTATATAAAATGTATAGAAAATTTAAGGAAAGTAAATCTGTACAGATGTTTAAGTATGTGCATAATATATGTAGGTGTGAAGATTTATAAATATACAGCCAGTAGAGTTTTATGTTGCATGGTCTATTGTATTATCCTAATGGTTATTGGGTAGGTGTTAAGTTACGTTTCAAATTATTCTAGAATCTATTGAGAAATAAGAAACATAATCATACATCAATATCTTGCTATACATCACAGTTTCACATCCCTATGTCCCAATTGAAGGCATATATCCCAGCTTCATAAAACTCAGATGGCTGCTGATGTAAATTCCTTACAGAAGTTTTCACTTCTTCATCACTACCATAGTCTTTGCCCCTTAGTTCCATTTTCATTAGACCAAAGAGATAGAAGCCTGATGTTACTAAGTCAGGTGGGGATGAAGAAGCAAAAGTAAGTAAGGTAAGGAATTAGCCACATCAGATGCCAGTATGGTAAGGTCTATTGTATTATCCGAATGGTTATTGGGTAGGTACTAACAGTTATGTTTCATAAATATTCTAGAGGCTATTAAGAAATAAGAAACAATCATACATCAACATCTAGCTATACATCACAGGTTCACCTCCCTATGACTCAATATATGAATGGGTCCTGGGTATGATGATAAACTACATCCACATCCTGAGTAAGATGATAAACTACGTCCAACAGCATCCTCAAACCCAGATCTTGTCCTGGGTATGACGATAAACTACATCCACGTCCTGGATAAGATGATAAACTACATTCAACAGCATCCTCAAACCCAGATCTTGTCCTGGGTATGATGATAAACTACATTCGTGTCCTGGGTATGACAATAAACTACATCTGCATCCTGGGTATGATGTTAAACTACATCCGTGTCCTGGATATGACAATAAATTACATCCAACAGCAAGACCTCTGATAATGTTTTTGAAAAAATTAATGTTGCTGGCTATACATTTTAGAAAAAATAATATTACCAGCTATGCATTTTTTGAAAAAATATAGCAGTGAATGCAGGATAATTTCCTCACAGATGAAGAGGAAGTTGGCAGCAACAGAAATGTGGTTCTACAGAAGGATACTGAGAATTTCATGGACGAAATGAGTAAGCAACAAGGAAGTTTTAAAGAAAATTGCAACAGAATGAATGCATACTCAGAATCAGAAAGAGATAGCAGAAATTTCTTGGACGCATAATGAAGAAGGAGGCATTGGAAAATTTAACACTCACAGGGCATACAGAGGGCATGAGAGAGAGGGGAAGTCAGCAAGACTTGTGTGAATGGATGATGGAACAGGGTTTGGACCACCTTAGCAAAGGGAAAAAAACTGCTGAGAGTAAAAAAAAAAAGGATGTTTTCGAGAGCCATAATCATCCATGTTTGCAGCTAAAAGAAGCCGCACTTTTGTCACTCGCTTATTAACAAAAATTGGCTAGACAATATTTTATTAGTCAAGTATAGTATTAATTTCAGGTTGTCTCTCTACTGACTAGCTTATAAATGAACCACATTGTAAAATTGGTTCCCACACAATCACCAAAGTTAAGCAACATTGAACCTGGTCAGTACCTACATGGGTGACTGCTTGGGAGTAGTAGGTGCTGTAAGCTTGGATGTTGGGGTGGTGTAAAATGAAAATGGCCCAGAATTGTTAATTGGAGAGCAAGTTCCAATTCCCGCCATATTCACTTACTTGCAAATATCATGGGAAGGCATGAATCCACCTCTTCTCCCACAGCAATGGGTTAATTAGTAAAATTTGTATCACAAAATCATTTATATCTTAAAAAAAATTTTTCCAATTGAATATTCTTGGTTTTAAATAACCTGCAGAGTATTGATAATTCGTAGAAAACAATTCAATCACTCTCAGCTGACTGAAAAAAAATAAGTATCAAAAATGCATATGAAGAAAGGAAAATAATGTCAGATATTTTGTGTTTGTTATCTATGTTAGAAGTTATCCCAACTTTAGAGTTTCATAGATAACCCCCCGCCAGCAATCGCTCTGAACTCTCATCAGGGGATATCAGAAAATGACTGTTTATTTTCTTGTTTTTTCTTTTATATTGTGCTGACAAAATAATTTATGCACTTTTTATTGGTACAAGGTTGACATTTTTGCTTCTTTCATTGTGTGTGTGTGTGTGTGTGTGTGTACATGTAGAATATGGTGTTTATTTCTCCATTTCATTGTTTTTCTTCTCTCTTTATACTCTCTCCTTATCAGTTCTATACCTTTTTCTCTCACCTTCAATTTTGAGTGTCAAAGAAAAATGTAACAATCTGTCATCCGGTTTTTCAGGCAAGTCAGTGCTCTTATTAATTCTTGAGCATTCTAGGGCTTTCTCGAGATCAGAAAATGTAGAAGCATTTAATTTATTTAATTTTTTTTATTATTAATACATAAATGGTAATTTAGATATTTCTATATGTCTTCACTTGCCCATTATTTCTTTCTTTTTAAAAAAAACCAAGAGTTTGTTTGATTTCAGTTAAGATTTTTGTTCTTTTTTTCCAGTACTCCAAAGTCCGTGATGTTATGTTTGGTTCTCATTTGCTGTGTGTCCTTATCGTTTTCCTAATAATCGTAGCCATCCACATTATAATTATCCCAAGGTAAGTAAAAATTATGTTCAGTTATTCAGTGTAACAACATGCTTATATAAATTGTTGTGATATTTTTAAAAATTCTTTTTTTAAATCCCTCATAACTCACAAGGCGGCATAGATGCTTTTGATCTTTATCAAAAAAGGAAAGTGAAGACAAGGCAGCTTTTGCCCATATATAGCAGAAGTACTCAAGAAAGAGGATAGCAAAAAAGGCAGGTAGTGACAAAAGGAAACGACAATTTTTTCAGTATATTTAGTAATGAATCATTAGTATGGGTTCCACTTGAGGTTTGGGTTGTGCTTAAGTCGCAATCGGTGGTCAAGGGATGAATACACCTGTTTATAGTAAAATAAAGTAAGACAGTTTCCAATGCATCTTTATAGGAAAAAATTCTCTATGCATTTTTATAGGGAAATAGTTTTCAGTATATTTTTATAGAAAAACAATATCCAGTGCAGTTTAATAGGAAAAACAATTTCCAATGCATTTTCATAGGAAAAACAATTTTTATAGAAAAATCATTTTGCAGTGCATTTTTATAGGAAAAACAATTTCCAATAGAGTTTTCCAGCAAAAACATTTTCCAGTTCATTTTATAGGAAAACAATTTTCAGATCAATTTCATTGGAAAAATAATATCCAAAGTATATTTACAGGAGAAACATATTACAACCTATTTTTATAGAAAAATAATTTCCACTGCATTTTTGTAAGAAAAACAATTACCAATGCATTTTATAAAAAACAATTTCCAATCTGTTTTTAAAGGCAAAACAATTTCCTATGTATTTTAGGGGAAAAAATTGCTTTACATTTTTATAGCGGAAACATTTCCATTTCATTTTTATAGGAAAAAACAGTTTCCAATACATTTTCCATGAAAAACAATTTCCAAACAATTTTTATAGGAAAAACTATTTCCCATTCATTTTCATAGGAAAAACAATTTCCAATGCATTTTTATAGGAAAAGCAATAACCAGGGTATTTTTATAGGACAAACATTTCCAGAATTTATTTTTTATAGGAAAAACATTTCCCAGTTCATTTCATAATAGGAAAAACAATTTCCAGACCATTTATAAGAAAAATAATGTCCAGTGCATATGAAATATTTATAGGAAGGAAGAACACACACTTTATACAAAAAACATTTGCTTTGCATTTTTATAGGAAGATGTCCATTTTTATAAGAACTATTTTCAATGAATTCATAGAACAAATTCCAATACATTTATATAAGAAACCATTTCCAGTTCATCATTATAGTGAATACAGTTTCCAATGCATTTAATAAGAAAAGCCATTCCCCAACCATTTTTATAGGAAGATTAATGTCCATTGCATATTCATAGGGAAAACATATTCACACACATTTTTATAAGAAAACAATTTCCAATGAATTTATATGGGAACTCAATGGCCTATGCGTTTTTATAGGGAAAACAAATTCCAACCCTTTTTTACAGGAAAAATATTTGCTTTATATTTTTATAGGTAAAACAATTTTCAATCCATTTTATAGGAAAATATTTGCTTTCAATTTTCATACTGAAAACAATTTCCAATCTATTTTTATAGGAAAAACAATTTCCAATCCATTTTTATAAGAAAAACCTTTGCTTTGTAAATTGATATGGATATCAAATCCATTTTTAGGAAAAACCATTTCCAATGCATTACATTTTTCCAGAATCTATTTTTATAGGGAAAAAGTTTGATTTGCCTTTTTTTATAAGGAATACAATTTTGAATCAATTTTTATAGGAGAAAGCATCTACTTTGCATTGTTATAGGAAATACAATTTCCAATGCATTTTTATAGGAAAAACAAATTCCTATCAATTTTAAGGAAAATCGGTGTTTAATACATTTTATAGGAAGACAATTTCCAGTGCATTTTTATAAGAAAAAATGTGCAGTGCATTTTTATAGGGAATGCAATTTGTCTATTCAGTTTATAAGAAAAACAATTTAAATACATTTTAATAGGAAAAACAATTTCAAATGCATTTTCATAGGAAATCAATTTTTTTTTTTTTAGTAAATTAATTTTTGATTCATTTGTTCAATAATTGCTCATTCATAAAAATTTCCAACGTATTTTTATAGTAAACTAATTTCCAGTGTTTTCCACTATATACTTTTACTACTTGCTGTGTCATTCATTGTACGGGTGGCTGAAAAATTTCTTTACCTGATTAAAAAGACCCTTTTCTCAGAAACATCTTTAATTTGGTCATTTTGAAAAGTGGCTTTCACTGGAAAATACTTCTGTACCCTCTGCATATAGGAAGAGGCATGGTGGGAGTAATGGATAACAGCGTAGATTGAGGAATTGGAGAGCTGAGTTCAAATTCTAGTCGAATCTATCACATTCACTTACGCGCTAATAACCTTAGAAAAAATATTAATTCTCTTCTTCTTCCCCCAGCTATGGGTAAATAGCAGGACAGACCAGGTTCTATAGCCTTGGATGACAACTGGTCTACCGCAGAAAGAAATGGCAACTTACTACAGGGAAAAAATCTGCCTCGTCAGTCATGTATTCAAAGATACATGATCATCTAAGCATGTATCACATATAACCAACTGACTAACCTCTGCATATATGTTATTGTTCAAGTGAAATTTTTTAATAAATCCTACCTTTGATATTATATGTTAATTAGGAATTAAACTCATTTGAACTACTGCAGTCAACTTCAATTGTAAATATTTTTTTCAGCTCAACCATCTTCAGGTGCCTCTGTATAATTGGCAGTGTGTTTTTATGCCTTCTACTATTTGTGGTTCTTATGGAAGGAGTTAAGGTATGTACAGTATTTAATAATTTAAATATTAAAAATGGAATTTATTTTCAGACGGTTGCTTCTAGCATGACTATAGAAAGCAGCTCTGTGCATAAAATACAAAGGTTCTAGTGTTACACACTTTGCTGTGAATGGATTGGCCTGATCAATATATTTGAAACAATGTTTTGTGATATCAACAAACACTTGTTTGACACTTTTGTGATGCCAATGAATACTCGTTGTCACTTTCATAATGCTCATTTTAGTAGAAACTTTGAAATCGCAGTTAGAACTATAGTACACCACTGAACAATACTGGTGTCAGACACCTTCAAATAGCACTCACACTAATAGTACTTGCTTGATAATACTCGCTCAAATAGTAATCTGCATAATGATCTGAATAGAGAAATAGCATAGTAAATAGAGTAGAGAATAACAATCTGTATAGTACTAGAGGACAGAGTAGAAATGATGATCTGTATAAATGGCAATCCGAATAGCAATAGACGATAGACTAGAAATGGAGATCAAGTAGACATCATATGACTTCCTATATATGCGTTTCCTCTATGGTCCTGTAATTCACTTAATTCAATAATGGGATCACCTGTGTTTGCTCAGTGTGAGCAGTGACACTTTATTCCTACATAACAAATCTTATTTCTGTTTAGAAAGCAAAGATGACACTAGTGTCACTGTAATAATAAAATACAAAATATTTGTATGATAAAACATTTATTATAATTGCCGACAATATGTTTTTTGATGATTGCTATTTTTTATGCCTTATAAGTTCTTTGTGGTTTATTTTGAGGGTTGCTTACAACACCTGGTGTTCCAAAGTGGAGACTTACAGCCACATCATATTGAAACACTGGTGCTTATATAATCATTAAAGTTAAGCAATTGGGTGACCACTTGCAAATGTCAGGTGCTTTAGGCTTTCATGTGTGGGTGGTGTAATGGATGATAACTCAGAATTGTTAATCAGAGTGCCAAGTTCCAAATCCAGTTGGGTTTGTTATATTCACTTATACAAAAATACCCTTGGGGAAAGTTATGAACCTATGGGTTAATTAGTAAGACTTGTATCTCTAAACCATGATTATCTCCCCTTAAAATTCTTTCAATCTAAAATATTTTCTGGCTTTAAAATAACCTGCAAAGGATTGATAAGTCATAGAAAATCCAAAGTGGTCCCCCAACTAAGTAATAAGTAGGAACCAGACTCAACATTACTTAATATTGGTGATGAAACTAGCTGATATATATATATATATTACTTATATTACTTAAATATATATATATTACTTAAAATATATATATATATATATATATATTACTTAAATATATATATATATTACTTAAATATATATATATATTACTTAAATATATATATATATTATTTAAATATATATATATATATATTACTTTAAATATATATATATATTAAATATATATATATATATATTATTTAAATATATATATATATATATATATTACTTAAAATATATATATATATATATATATGTATTACTTAAATATATATATATATGTATTACTTAAACATTATTTTTCGTGGATATTTATATTTGAGTAGATGCTCCATTTATTTAATAAATAGTATTTATTTTCGCCTTGTTAAAAAAAAATATGTGCTCTTCAGTAGGATTGAAACCTGCATTTCCATAGGGGAATCCATCATTAAATCTGATATACCTTGATCTCTAAGCTACAGAGTGTCAATACCAAATAAATTCTGGATAGTGCCATTAAACCCAGAATTTTCTACGACTCTTGAAATATAAAGAATTAATGGATTTATTCATAGCCTGAAATTTTTATTGCTTCAAATATTAATTTAGTGGTTACCCATACTTGAATTAGACATCCCATTTTCATTATAAAAAGTGGGTATTACATCACTCAGCCTAAACACTTGAGAAATCTTGTTAAAGAAAATGTGCTCACCAGTAAGGTTCAAACCTACGTCTATCTTCAGATATTAAACCTGAGCAGATACAGGCTTTCAAGAAAAATCTGAACAAGGAAATGTGTTTTCTTTAAAAGGGACATGGCTGGGCTGTGGTGCTCTCTATGGCTGAGCTGTTTAAAGTATGTAGGATAAATGATGGTTTCTCCTACAAAGGGGGGTGCATGTTCAATCCCTGCCAGAGAGCAGATTTTCTCCCATGTAACCTACAAGCAATTCCAAACTGAGCCTTTATTTAATCTACAGGGGTAAACTGTTTCCGTTCCACTGCTCATATCTTGAGATATCTCATCTAGTTCTTATTTTTAGTACTGCTCACCAATTTTCAGTAAGTCGAACTACACACTAACCACAATTACTATATCACCAAATTCACTAAGCTCTTGGCTCATGGGACATTAAGAACTAGACAAGATATCCCTAGATATGGAAACAAGAACAGTCTAAACCCATAGATTAAATAAAGTGTTCAATTTAGAATTCCATGTAGGTTACCCAGATCAGCATACACCTAATGAAGGTCGGAGGCCACAATGGCTGAAACATTGGATTGGGAACAATCTATCCCCATAGTTTAAATAAAGGGTTCAGTTTGAAATACCCTGTAGGTTACCCAGATCGACAGACACCTGATGAAGGCTGGGGGGCACAATGGCCGAAACGTTATGATGACAACAACCAAGATGAGATATCCCAAGACATAAGGAAATGAGAACAATCTACTCCTATGGATTCAATAAAGGGTTCAGTTTGAATCCCTGTAGGTAACCCAGATCCACATACATCTGATGAAGGCTGGAAGGCACAATGGCCGAAACCCCAAGACATAAGGGAATGAGAACAATCTACTCCTATGGATTAAATAAAGGGTTCAGTTTGAAATAACCTGTAGGTTACTCAGTTCGACATACACCTGATGAAGGCTGGGGGACAAAATGACTGAAATGTTGTTAACAACAACTGAAATGAGATATCTTTAAACATGAGTAGTGGATTGAGGACAGTTTAGCCCCATTGGTTAAATAAGGATTTCAGTTTGAAATTTCATGTAGGTTACTCCTTATCCAAAACATTAAGACAGAAATAAACAATTAGTTGTTAATTATAAAGAAATTTGCAGGACTTTTGAACATTTTCAGTCTTCAAATTCTAAAATAAATCACTCAAAAAGAATAAAAGAGGCACATTTGACCAAAGAGAGCACTGGGAAGCAGCTGCATGCCATAGATTGAATCAATATCACTCTCATCTCACAAAGAGCTTAGCTTTACAAGAGAAATACTTTGAATATGACAGTGGCCAATAGTGACCAGCTAAGCAAAGTTTATTTACATTTTGGGGTCTGTTATCTTCATCTTTGTTGCCATTTGTATGCTACAATCTTCTTCAGGTGATTGGAATTTTGATTTGAACCTTTTATTTCATCCACCAGAGTAAATTGTTCTAGTTCCAGATGCCATACCTCTTCCGGAGGTCTCAGAATCAGTTATCTCCCTTTAACTGAACTCTCTAAGATTTCTGTTCACCTCAGCTGTAGCCAGGTATTGAACTCACAACTTAAGGCCCGGTGGATAAAAGCGTTGGTTGAATCCAGTGACTTGACTCAAAGAGTTGTGAGTTCAATACCTTGCTATGGCAGAGGTGATCAGAAAAATTGGAGAGCATACAATGGCCAAAAAGTCATGAATATGGCAATGAAGAAGACAATAGTGTAAACAATGTAAATACTGTAAACGTTTTCTTAGGGCTTTTTTTTTATTATTTTTTTTCTAGGTCCACAGTAAAGGGTTCAGTTTGAAATTCCAATCACCTAAAGAAGGCTGGAGTGTACAATAGCCAAAACGTCATGAATATGGCAACAAAGATGAGGACAATGGTCTGAACAATGTAAATAGTGTAAATAATTACAATACCTGATCTCAGAAATATAGACTGATAAGCAAAGTTTGCTTTCACAGGACCATTTCTGAAATTAAATTGTCATAGTTTTTACTTAGAATTTCAGAATGATTTCTTTTTTCTTTTCTTTGACAGCACACACCTTCTTGGATAGCATCAATGGCCACCCAGATTGCTGTGAATCGCCTTGTTAACCATACAGTTGTTATACTGGCAGTTGTTATGCTTTTTCTTGTATCCTTTCTTGATATGGTAAGTGATATCATTTGTCTCTTTTATAGCCAGAGTTTGGCAGCTGATCTCTCACCTGACTGAGCTCTAACAGCTCAGTGAGGAGAAAAACTGGCTGGTCACATTTAATGCCTCGAAAACCAAACTATTGATGTTCTTGAATTTTCATCTATTGCGATGAATGGTTATGTTCTCTCAGGAATGCCTATTCCTTGAGTGCCTATTGGGACTTAATCTCAGCCCAGACCTCAACTTCAACAAATGATCCATTGGTAAAGATGCTGAAAAAATTGTTGGTTTTCTGTACCACACCAGTAAGTACCTGACTCCTCCTGCCACCTGTTAACTTTACAAGACCCAGATTTGGCTGAAAAATGGAGTACTGCTGCCATATTTGGGCAGAAGCTTCTCAGTCTTCACTTTCATGTCTCAATAGAATCCAAAAGCATTTCCTTAGTTCCACCAGTTCAAACCTTCACATCTAAGACCTTCTATGCCACACACATTTTTGTGAACTACCCTTATTTCTTACATATAAACCACTACTTTGCAAACCAAATTCCAAGAAATAGAAGTTGACATGCCGTTAAATCCAACATCCATCCATCCATCCAAATTCCAAGAGGATATTTACCCAATCACTACAATCTTTTCAAGTCTAGGCTCAACCATTATCTTACCCATATATTCTCATAAATTATGCCTCTTACTCTGTAATCTTCTACCTTGAGTGGCTCATTGGCCTTGTAAAAAGTGAACATTATTGCAAAAAAAAAAAAAATTAGAATTTCTTATCTGGGATTTTTCTTCCTATAAAGTATGAAATTTCCTATTAGTGTTAAGGTGGGTGGGAGATATTTCTCAAAGAGATCTAGTTGAACAAAGAACCAGATCCCAAGAGGATGCTTCCCCTTATCACTATAAACTTAACCTGTTCAAATCTAGAGTTAACCATTATCTTCCCTACATATCCCTATAAACTGTGCCTCTTACTCTGAAACCCTCTACCTCGAGAGGCTCTTGGGCCTTGTACAGGATGACCATCATTGTAAAAAAACATCACACACATGCAAAAATAATATAGATTAAGACTACTTCTACTTCAGGACATGGATGATCATGGCTCTCTACAATTTCCTATCTGCTTAAAATAAAAATCCAATATTATAGGTTTTTAAAAAATGGTATTAATTATAGATTTATAAAATATCCAGTATGCATAGGTTTAAAAATATTCAGTATTAATTGTAGGTTTCTGCTTTTAACCTGCCGATGCTCTCCATAACATCTAG